GGGATGTAGTCACGCAGGTCGCGGGTGCGGCTGTGGTACAGAAAGCGGCGGGCGTACATGCGCTGGATGATGGCCGTCACGTTCCCAAACACCACCGCGTGCATCAGGGCTGGGGGAGGGTGGTGAGAGCGGGTCACTATAGGACCAGCCTGGCCTGGCCCGGCCTGATACCATGCTGGATATCCGTGCTCTTCCCCCTTCCATCCCCACACCCTTCCAGGCAAGACAGGCAGGCTTTGTGTGCACAGTCCCTTCCAGTCCCAGCCTGCTGGTCCACGGACCGCCTAAAGCAGCAGAACCGCAGGACCCTGGAGGAGGTGAGAAAGGAGGGGATGCCTGAAGCCAGAACCCAGGGGTAGGCCAGAAGACAGGCCCGCGGGTCAGGCCTCACCACCGATGAGCATGGTGCAGATGGAGAAGATCTTCTCGGTGTCCGTGTTGGCGGACACATTGCCGAAGCCCACGCTGGTGAGGCTGCTGAGCGCGAAGTACAGGGAGGTGATGTAGGCACTGCGCAGCGACGGGCCGCCCAGGAGCTCCAGCCCTGTCCCATTGGCCTCGTTGCCATTGCTGCAGTTGTCGCTCCGGCCAGAGCTGTTCCCTCCAGCTGGGCTCCGGCCCACCAGGTAGTAGGGGGTCTCCAGTCTGCGGGCCAGTTCCTGCAGCCAGCCTGGAGGGGGAGTGGGAGAGCAGGCGACTCACTGGCAGGGGGCAGGGGACATGCAGTAGCAGATCCATCCTCATGGCTATCTGCCACTTTCCCTCTTCTCTGCCAGCCCAGCCAGCATACTTAGGGACCCCTGCTACCCTCTGCATACAGGCACATGAGGAAGAGGCCGTCAGCTCCCCAGCCAGTGCCTACTGGCACCTAGAATGGTGTGGAGTATCACGCCCTCTTCTCCATGGCTGGCAATGATCCCAGGTAACAAACCCAGCTGGAGAGGGCCAAAGGACAGTGTGTGTATGTGTGTGTGTTGGGGGTGGGGTGGGTGGGTAATCAATGTGTTCAACCACAGCCTGTCCCCAAGGCTGGCTAGGTGAGGCCACCTACTCTGCTCTGTCTACCCAGACTTCTCTTCCTGTCTTTCTCTGAGCTCATCTGCTCCAAAAAGTCCTCCCCCTGGCTCCATTCATCTTCATCCCTCCCCACAACCACACAAACCACCCAAACTCACGTACACATTCTCAAGCACACCTACGTGGATGTGTGTGTACAAACTGTTGAGCCTATGCACATGCCCCACAGAGTCCAGAAAACAAGGACACATGTGTGAGCATTTCACAGGTGCCCGGCCTCTGCCATGGCCACTCCCACGGAAAGACCTGTGCACACTTGGCAGAGAGTCAAAGGTGCACAGGTGCTTGCACACTGCATGGGCCCAAGCTGCAGGTGAACACAGATGCCACAGGCAGGCAGGCCCCCGAGCCCTCACGCAGTCACACATGTGCAGGTGCAGGCCAGACTCGGCCACTGTGCAGAAGCCAAATTTGCTCTGGTCTCTTCAACCCTATATCTTCAGCCTGGTCTGGGCAGGATGTAGGGCTGTAAACTGGGGTCTCTCGTGAGCCTGTGGCTACCATTTAGTCACCAGGAGACCAAGGCAGGTGACTGGGGCTTACCCAGCAGCCCACCAGGCTTCACAATGTCCATCTGCTAGAGAGGCCTGCCACATGGGAGGGCCAGAAACCCTCTGACTTTAGCTGGAAGGTTGTGAGAGCTCTAGGATGTTGGGTAGGGGCCCACAGAGGTCTAGGCAGAGCTGGGGCCACAGGAAATAAAGGAGAGAGGGCAGGCTGGCTGACGTAGAGCGGAGAGGCAGAGGTCACTGTGGGAAATGGCTGCAGTGGACCAGTGGGGCACCGCCTCTCCACACATGCTCTGGCCCTCCCGCCTCAACACACAGACCCCAACTCCATGCTCTCCCCAGCACCTTGCACTTGCAGGTCCCGAGGTCCCCACCCCACTGTTGCCCACTCATTCAGCAACCTCTAGCACTGTGTGTCAGGAGCTGGGGCCCACAGCAGCTTCCTGCCATAGCTGCAGGACAGAAGACGCAGGGTAGGGTATATCTCAGAGGTACCACATAATGCGGGCTCACGCCGAAGTGCTATGGGCTAGGGCTAGAAGGTTCCGAGAAGAGAGGACATCTGTGCTTGGTCTCAAAGGATAGGTAGCATTTTGACACAAGAAAACACAGAGGGTCATTCCAGAAGGAAACCTGAAAACCAAGCTTTTAAGACAAGAACGGGCAAGCAGCTCAGTTTGGCTGGAACGTGTGGTTATCACTGAGGGCCTCCGACTCCAGGCTAAGGTACCGGGGGCATCATTAAGGCCTTGCAGAGGTCAGCCCTCGTTACTTGTGGTGTGCAATGAGAACAGGATGGACTATGCAGAGCTCTTCAGTGTTGGGCCTCTGGGAGTGAAGCAGAAGCCTGGGGTGAGGCAGATGCCCGAGTTAAGGGGAGTGGGGTGGAGAGGTGAGAATGGCAGGACAGAGGAGAGGAGAGGGGGTCTCTGTCTGGGCCAGGAGCAGCAGCAGCAGAGGCTGTTCTGGAGGCTGGGAGCTTTCACACTGCAAAGTGCCACGTTAGCTCCCTCAGTGTTCAAAGCCATCCTCTGTAGACCCACCCGTGTCCACTGGGCTCATGGGAATCCAGGGAGGAACTTGGCCTCTACGGGCTGCAATGGGGAATCAAGGCAAGCAAGCCTCAAAGGAGCCACTTCCTACCAGAGGAAGCCGGGCCACCAGCCTGCTGCCAGCCCAGTTTCCCTCCCGCTCTTCTCAGGGCTAGACTCTGGGAGACCTGGGTTTGGCACCAACCCAGGAGGGAGCAGTTTCCCTGGAGAAAGGAGAGATGATGACGTGAAGGACTTGGAGAGTTTCCATAGGTGAACTGGTACCAGACACCACCCTGGAACTCGGGTCTAGGCTGACAAACTGCTAGGTAGAGTTCTGTCAACAGCTCCCCAACCCCCACCCCGCCACTCTTGTGCCCATCAAGGTGGGCCCAGAGCCCCGTCCAGAGCTGAGGTGTTCTTAGTATCGGATCAGCAGCCCCCAGGAGGTGGTCAGGATAGCAGAGCCTACTGGACTCCAGACCCAGGGTGTCCAGTCCGGTTGCAGGGCACAGGGCCACTGGGGGTTTGGTGTCTTGGCCTATTTTGGAGGTTGGTGGAGACAGGGTCAGGGCTTTGTTTCACCCTCGGCCATCTCCCTGCCCTCCGTACTGGGGGTCTGACCCCAAAGCGGCCTCTGGTGCAGACTCCCTCTGGGAAGGGCAGGTGCCGAGAAGCCTGGAGTGCCTGGTTTCCACTGCTCAGCAACTAATGCACCCTGGGGACACTCTGTGGGCCCCTGAGGCACACACAGGTCTCCTGTGAGCTCAGGGAGGGAGTGATGACTCACAGGAGCCTCATCTTCCTCAAGGAACTGATGACAGTAGGTTTCTAAGGCTGACCTGGACGTCTGCGGCTCCACCGAGGAGCCCACAGTTATGAGAGGCCACCCGGGGAGCTGGAAGCTGTGCTGAAAGTCGGGGCCAGGGCTGGCAGAGGCTGGGGGCTCGGGAGAAAGACCGAGTGTTCAGTTTGGGGCTGGGGAGCAGAGAGTTAGAAATGGCTAGATGGGAGAGAATGGGATAGGAGAAAAGATGCAAGTGGAGACGGTCACCGAGTGGCCAAAGTGGAATGGCTGAGGGGAGAGATGAGGAGGGATGTGAGGAAAGGTCTTTCTGCAGCTCCTGGGACCTGAAGGGTCCGCAGAGGAGACCCAGCGAGAGGCACATCACATACACAAAGAGGAGCGGGGTCGGCAGGGTCAGTGCTGCAGGGACTTCAAGGAGAATGCGAGTTTGGCCCTGGAAGGTCATGGGGACCTTCTGGGCGACATCTTGGGTGGAGAGGTGGGGGTGGAAACCCTCCTGGCAGGAGTTCAGACATGAGTGGGTGGTGAGCAGAGGGAGGAGCTGTGGAATGGAGGTGAAATGAAGGAGAGAGAAGATAAGGGGGGATGCCGAAAAAGCGGCTCTCTATGCTGGGGGACGGTGGAGACAGCTGAGACAGGTGAACCGGAGGTGACAAGTGGAGCAGCCACTGTGAGACCCAAGGTGGTAGGGACAAGCTTCAGAGGGCGTACTGGGGAGGCACAGGCATCAGAGGACCCTCCGGGGCAGCGGTTCCCACTTGTCCTTCCCAATTGGGCAGGGGTTTAAGGAATGTGACGGCATCCTTGAGGAGGAGGCCATGGCGGGTGACTGGGGCTCACCAGTAGCTGGGCCCAAGACCCCTGCTGCTGGAAAGAGGTCTGCCACGTAGGATGGCCGTCACACTCAAACCCGCACACCCCTCCTCTGACACACACACGCAGATGTGCATGTCTCGGACACCCCGCACCAGCACACATTCGTGCCGACGTTTCTCCAACACGTACGCACCCTCCTCACGCTCACGCTCACGCTCACACGCACACACAAGGAGGCTCCGGTACCAATCTCGGGCAGCTCCGACTCGCTGCTCTCGATCTCCCGCTGGCCAATGTAGAACCAGACACAGGCCACCCAGTGGGCGAGCAGGGCGAACACGGCCATGAGCAGGGTGAGCACCACGGCGCTGTACTGCGAGTACCGGTCCAGCCGCGGGAGCAGGCGAAGCAGCCGCAGCAGCCGCACGGTCTTCAGCAGGTGGGCCCCGAAGTACTGAGATGGGGAGCAAGAGGCGCAGGGCGGTCACCCAGGGCCATGACCACCCTCCCCAATCCCAAAGCCTGGCAAGCCCCACTGACCACGTTGACCTTGAAGGCATGTAGCAGGTCAAAGGGCAGCGCCGCGATGACATCCAGCAAGAACCAGGTGGTGACGTAGTGGAGGCAAATGGACTTTGGGGCGAACACCACCTGGCCCGACTTGGACACAAACGTGGTACGGAAGTTCAGCACGATGTCTGTGGGGAAGCCGAGTGGGAGTCAGCGTAGTGGGGGCCACCCTTCCCGGGTATGCTGGGTACCTAACATGGCCCAGGGCCCACTGCGCCATCGACCCACTCGGTGCTCACAGTAATTCTCACAGCCAGGCATCGTTGTGCCTATTTTGTGGAGAGACAGACTGAGGCCGAGAGGCTTTGACTGGCTCGGGGTCGGGTAACATGTTAGTGCCAGAGACCTATTTGGAAACTGGGTGTGATTTCAAAGCTCAGGGTCACAACAGAAGCACAAGGGAGACACCTGTGGGACACTAGAAGCCACAAGGCTGTCCCCATCAGAGCCCAAGGGTGCCCAGCATGGGGTGGGGCAGAAGGCACCCAGTGTGCGTACCAAGGATGAAGAGGACCTCCACGGCCAGGTCACAGACGCTGGGCGGGCCGCGGGCAGCACTGGGCTCCCGGGCTGTGCTCACGCACACACTATAGGGCACGGTGACGGCCACATAGAGTGTGGCGAGCAGGATGAAGCCGTCCCAGGTGGCCCTGAGCGCCCCGCAGTGCAGCAGGATGAAGGGTGACTTCCGGATGGCAGCTACTTTGTACTCCGGCAAGTTTGGCTTCTCCCCAAACACGCCCTGAGTGGGCAGGGCAGGGCCAGGCAGGGAGAAAAGGACATTGGCACAGGTTGAGTGTGACAGTGCGCTCACTTGCTTTCTCCCACTGCATTCTCAGAGCACTCTCTGACCTAGCCTAGGCATTGGAGTCCCATTTCACAGGTCAGCAAAGTGAGGCTCTGGAGTTAGTGAGTTAGCTGAGGTCACACAGCTGCTTAAGGGAGAAGCCAGGATTGAACCAAAGCCCATCTGGCTCCAAGGCCAAGACCTTCCCCTCTCATCTTTGATGGGCAACACATGTGACATTCCCTCCCTCAGCCCCAAGCCTCACAGTGCCTGTGAGGCCTGGGTGGCCTTGGGCAGTGGCTCTGTGGTGGGCCCAGCTCACTCCCCCTTCTCCTCTGCCTGCCCCTGCCCTGTTCCCAACCCCAAACACACACCCTCGTGCTCAATCCACCTTATTGAGCTTGTGCTTGCCCTTGGGTTGCTTCTGCAGGTGTCCAGACAGGTGATAGAGCACCGCCCGGCTTCGCCGCCGGTTGGCATTGAAGCCTTTGGCTCCTGCCCGGCCGGACCGGCGCACGGC